TCACTGACAATGCATGCTTTGAAATCTGTAAGCTATTACCCTGTAGATATACTAAAGGATAAAGATGTTGAATATCACTGACAATGCATGCTTTGTCTTTGCTCACAATAACATTCCTAGAGGAATCATCCCTTGATCATAATAGTAAAGCATGCATGCCTCTGGTGTATAGAGGCTTTGCACCATAACGTGATGGTAGCCATGACAGGAGGCAGGAATAATTCAATCTGGTCTAATCTAATTTACATGAGAAAGAATTCAGTTTTCCATTGGAAAAAGGTTCTATTTCTGTGCCTCACGTCATGGCTGCCACCATACAAGTTGGTGCAAAGCCTGTATAGGAATAGAAAGCCAAGTTAGCTTGTTAAATCTATCATTTATTGACATTAATGGTCAATTACTGAATGGCTTCCAGGCAATATATATCTGGCTAACCAATGCACCTACATGTAGGGGCAACACTGGAGAACCAAGATATAAGGCGCAGCACATCAAATAAACTTTCCTTACATGTGGTCCTTGAGGTGGAGATTGAACTCACAACCCCAATACATACTAAAGACATACTGTATGTCATAGCCATCATCTTTGTTTATGTACGTGTCTCTTGACTTGCAGATAATCTTCCATCTAGTTGCTGTTGCTGCATCAGCTGCATTAGCCGTCGGCCTAAATTGGCATTGTGTTGCTGCAGATAGCGAATCATGTCAGCTTGCTTTTCCAACACCTCATTTACATATTCACCATCCCTAAAAGATGAAAAATAAAATGATCCATTGAGACATTGCTGGCATAATATTATGATCATTAATTATCATGATAAATCATTATAAGCATCACCATCAACCATCATCATTGTCATCATCCTTCATCATCAACATTCATCATGATGATAACCACATCAGCAGTCATAGCATCATGCATTGTTAACTTGCAGCAACAGAATTGATCAATCAGCATTATCACCAACGCCATCATTAGTGGTAACACCATGAAATCCATTTTCATCATTATCATACCTGAATCCTGCTTCTACTGTTGTGCTGAAGCCATCTATAACATCTTTATCCTCGGCATCTGGTTGAGGTTTTGCCTTGTTGAACTTTATCACTTTGACTATGAAAAAAATAAATATTGCCACTGCATATCTGCTATGATCTGGTCCTTATACCATAAAATCTATAAACTATTAGTATCATATAATATATATTGTATTACTATAAGTTTCATATAGTACTTACCTAGATACCAGATAATTCCTGGTAGGCATAACACAACCTCCAATATGAAAACTATTTGCAAAATTATGATTAAATTAAGACCTGTCCAGGAATATTTATGGCCAAGTACAGCTACTATCACAAGTAAAACAGCGTTACCTGCAAACATAAAAATCATAATATGATTACATCAACAAATGGATAATAAATTGATAGTAAATAAATAAAAAATCTATTGTTCTAGGCAGTTGATGAACTGCATCAAGTTTTGTTGCATTGCAGGTAAAATCTCGCAAATCTCGATTTTTTCTGCCTTATGTATACCCATTGACTGAATTTGATTCGCTACCTCTCGCTTTAGGCTCGCTCCACTGTGGCAGTAATAACAAAATGCATGTAAACATTGGCATCTCTGATAATATTATTGCTCTATTTTGTCCAACAACAATTTTTTGAGACCACATGGTATTTCTTGAGTAATATTTTATATGCATCAAATTAAGATTATCTTAATGATTTTGATATGTTAGTGTCATTGGTAAAGAAAGAAATTATGCTAAAGGACATGATGTGGTCTAAAAGAGGAAAATATACTAATTATAATATAGCTTAGATATTACACATGCTCTTGTTGCTTGAGAACTGTGCTATATTGGTGAACAGAGCATGGTTACAACATTTGTAAAGAACTGTAAGAAAACGACATAGAAAAAACTCAAAAAGTGTGAGAAACTATCCTACTGTATGGTTGGTTTGTGCCTCCTTTCGCACTTCTTTCATGCCTATGTCACTTTCTACATGCTCTAGATTCCTGAACTGAGCAAGGAAAAGGCTGTTTCATTTTTGTTAAACATTAACCTCTATCAAGAGAGACTCGGCAAATTCCCTGTATCATAATGTAAAATAAAGATTCATTTTATTTCATTTTTTTGAGAAGCTTACCAAGGCTAAAGACATTATAAGGCAGCCGTCTGATGTTCTTGGTATCTCTGAACATCTGTAGATAACCAAAGCCTTGTGATACATGATGAGCATGTTGTAAATATCTGTCAGCCACAAACACAATCAGCCACAACAAAACGTGAAGAATGAGGAAAAATCCAAATGGTGGGAATTCATCTCCCAACCAATGCATAGTCCCTCTCTTGAGTAGAAAGGTTGCAATGGCATAACCAATCTGTTAATCAAAGTTTGACGATATCATTATACAATCTCATCTCAAGTATAATTTTCCCATGATTTCATTTATTTTGTCACTCCCTTGAGTATTATTCCTTTGTATACCAAAATGAGAAAACACTACAAAATATGATATATTGGAAATAGGAAAATACTTACAAATAGAATGATTAACAACACAGCTACCCATGCTGTTTGTAGACGACGGAATTTTGACACAGTTACAAGTTCAGCATGAATAGACGACACCTCGTGGGAAAGATCTTCGTTAATATTAACACTGTTATTAGAAACAGGCATGGATTCTTGACGATCAAAGAAATATCCCTGAAATGGAAAAGGTTTGAGTAATAAAGAAACTTGCATATTTAATTAAAGGGGTAGTGGGGTGTATTATGGAGAGTATATGAAACTACACATTGAAGGGGATAAACAGCCATCATTAACATTAAGGGCAAAAGTTTTATGAAATAATAAGCTCAAATGATAATTATTATTCAGTAATTTGTGGGTATTTTGGACATATGCCACAAATGATCATAAGACTATTTAGTAATACTCTTATTTGATATTAATAATATTCAATTTGGTTTGTAAACCATTAATATTATATACTAACTATTGATGTTTTCTCTTTTAAAGTAACAGCACCTAATTAGATACTTCAAAATTCTTCTTATAGAGCTTAAAAATCAAACTATGTTTCATAAAAAGAATTATTCACAATGACAGAGATATCGAAAGTAATCAAAGCTTGCAAAAAATAAAAATAAAATCACAAAAATATGACTTTTTCTTGACAAATATTGAACGTAATTTGGCTCCTACTTACTCCTTGTCCTTGCTCGATACTAAGGCTAACCATGGTGTGGTTTATTCTTGAAGAAAAGAGTAAAGAAAGGGAAGGAAAATATCAAAGACGAAGTCCATAACTGACACAGAGAACAGTCACGAGATTTACTCATTCTACTCAGATATGCTAATTATTCCCTACATGGGATCCCTGTGGTATCACCTTCATTTCATTTATAACTTAATGAAATATCAATAAAAATCTAGGAAAGAGAAGAAAAAAGGATCCTATAGCTTCGTTTTGCTATGATTTTGCTTTAATAAATTTAAAATTAAAAATGGATATCTTTTTCTTTAATGTTTAAAAAACACAGGGATCCCAATAAAAGATTCTGTCACAGACGGAACAGGGACAGGAACAACATGGCGGCAAAAGTAACTTCTCGAGTTACGGTCCTCGGAGGCGGGATTTCAGGTCTTTCCGCTGCTTATTATCTAGCCAAAAACCACAAGGATCCAAGTAAGATAACTTTAGTTGAGTCAAGCCCTCGGTTTGGTGGATGGCTGCATAGCGTAAGGGCTGAGAGTGGAGCTATCTTTGAGCAAGGACCTCGGAGTTTGAGACCTGTTGGTCCTGCAGGTTGGGAGTCTTTGAACCTGGTCAGTACGTACGATTCTTTAAATTAACTTTCCATTACCTATAATATTGCTACACTACATTGAAGTGCACATCTTAGTTAGCACAGTTTAGTTAGTTTAAATAGTTTTTGGCGCTATTTGGGTTCATTTACTTCATTACGTAACACGTCTAATTTGATGAAACATGAGAAGGGTGAGCAACGCAGACAACGCTTCATAAAACTTGAACTTATGTTCTAGATGGATAATAACATTTCTTCCTACTTACCAGGATTGTTTTTCCTATTTCATTGTGACCTCAATGACCAAAACGAGGGGAGGGGAGGGGCGAGGTAGCTTTAGACATGTTAAGTTCCATTCTGTTGTTGCGTTGTTCCTTCCCCAAAAGTTTTTTGTTTTTCGTTTCCTGTACAGTTTTACAGCTCCAGGACATCTAGTTCCATTCTTCACTCCCTTATGCATACATACACACACATTATGTCTTAAAGCAACAGAACATTCATTTTTAGTGTCATAACTCTCTAAATTGTTCATTTACAGGCCTCAGAGCTTGGATTAGAAAATATGATCATCCCAGTATCAACAAGTCATGCCGGTGCTCGTAACAGATTTATTTATTCCAAAGGACAAGTTCACAAACTGCCAAGCAGTATTGCATCTATAGTCAAGAGACAGTCACTATTCTCTGGATCACTTTTGCCTATTTTATTAAGAGAGCCCTTTGTGAAGAGACGGACTGATGAAAGTGATGAGTCGGTCTATGATTTCTTTAAGAGGAGATTCAGTAAAGAGGTATGTTACCCACATTACCCCTACTCCTCCATCCTTCCCCTCTCCCCCCCCCC